TCTATCTATCTATCTATATATATATATATATATATATATATATATATATATATATATATATATATATATATATATCTTATATCTATCTGTCTGTCTGTCTATCTATCTATCTATCTATCTATCTTATATCTGTCTGTCTGTCTGTCTGTCTGTCTGTCTGTCTGTCTGTCTGTCTGTCTGTCTATCTATCTATCTATCTATCCATCTATTATATTTCTACATTACCCAGCTCAACTTAAATTATCTTAGTTAAGATAACTAAAATAAGTAAGTTATCTTAATCATCTCAGTTCTCTAATGCTTTGCAAATGTTAGAACAGAGAAATAATTTTTAACATGAACAGACAGGGAAAATGATTCAACACAAGGACAGAGTTAGATTATTGGTTGTTGTTTTTTAAAAAAAAACTTTTTAACTTGTTGTTTGGTTGCATTGGATTTATATCTATCTGTCTGTGGACCTATCTGTGGACCTGTGTCCACAGTTTCTGAAGTGCAGCTCATGGACCATCAGTTAAAGGATAAATCCAGCCTTAATCTGTTCTTGATGAAGCTACTTATCTACTTAAATGTGGGGGGGGGGACTTTATAAATGTATAAAATCCAATTTTGGGAGATTGGAGTAAATTATTCTAGCTGTTCCTCCCCTTTAATCATTCTGGTTGCACCTGGTACATATAAAAGACCTATTACTTCCAGCTCCTTGCAGTTCAGATAAATATTTTCCAGGGAGATTTCATTTTCTTATTAGAGGTATGGCATCTGCAAAGTATGTCAAAGTTTGCCCATAACAATCTTTTTGTTATAACAGAATTAAAGTGAAGATTGTTGATCCTGGCAGACATAGGCCAAGTACATGCGCCCTTCCCCAGGTCAAAGTCTGTTGTTTTTCAGGTCTCCTTCTGGAGTAGCTCCCAGATTTATGGGATAATCATCCTACACTGTCCTCCACCTACCTTTGTAACAGTTCAGTTAGTGACTGAAGTTACAATGGCGCTGAAAAATGTGACTTATGATCATTTTTCACACTTACGTCCATAGCAGCACCCCCAGGGTCACGTGATCAAAAATCAGATGCTCGGCAACTGGCTCGTACTTACGACGGTTGCTGTGTCCCAAGGTCACGTGATCCCCTTTGGCGACCTTTCTGACTGAAGGGATTTTATTGTGCTTATGATTTTAGTATGTTTAAGTTTGACATTAGCATTTATTTTATATATAGTAACCATTTTATATTGACACTTATAGTGTTATCATGTAATCATTGTTTTGTTATTTTGTAATCATTATTTTGTAGTTAGTTGCTTGATCAGATGCTTTATATATATATATATATTGGAAAAGTAAGGGCTTCATGCTTTAGGTATAGGTGATTGCTTATATGAAAAGAGCAAGGTAAGGGGAGGGGGGAAAGAAGTTACAGATGGAGCCTGGGTTGCTGTGTATGAGTCATCATCTAGGACAGTGGTGGCGAACCTATGGCACGGGTGCCAGAGGCGGCACTCAGAGCCCTCTCTGTGGACACGCGCACCATCACCCAAGTCCTAGGCCTTCAGCTGGGTTTTATAAAAAATTTTCACTTTAGGCCTCCGCTGCCATGTGCAAAAAAAAAAAAAGGTTCAATCAATCAGTCAATTTCAACTTCTCGCGGGAAAAAAAAAAGATCTTGCAAAGTTGGAATTGATTGATTGAATTTTTTACTCCCACTCAGTCTGCCGTTACCACCGCAGCCACGTCCAGCCAATGGGCCACGCCCACCCAATTGGCCACACCCAGCCAATGGGCCACACCCACCCTGCACCCGACGATGCATAAGTGGGGTTTGGGTTGCAGTTTGGGCACTCGGTCTCTAAAAGGTTTGCCATCACTGATCTAGGAATTATTTTTTTGTGCCATCTTATGCCTAGTACCAAGACCTGATCTTTTTGTTCTGCAAAGGTATAAAAGGTGGAAGACATCTTTTCTGGTTGTTCCCTTCATCTCTCTACCAGCCACGAAGAGAGATGGGGTCGCCCAACTCTATTTTGATCAAAATAAAAGTTGTTTGCTTGCTGAAACCTCGGCTCAGGAGTTTCTTTGCCTCTTTTAAATTCCTGAGTAATGCTGGGGCAATTGTGAGGCTAAGTGGAAAACCTTACATCCTGGCGCCCAACGTGATGGAAGCCACAATGGCTCTCCCCTCACATCTGGAGACCCCTGTTAAGGTCCCAATGGGGAAGCCAGATTTACTTAACAACCGGGTTACTAACTGATCAACTGCAGTGATTCACTTAACAGCTGTGGCAAGAAAGGTCGTAAAACGGGGCAAAGCTCACTTAAGAAGTGCCTCGCTTAACAACAGAAAGGTTAGGCTGAATTGTGGTCGTACGTCGAGGGCTACCTGTAGTTGCAGCAGCAGTAACGTTGCACTGTTATGGCTACGATTGTTATTATTATTAAGGCACAGATTGGGAGGAAGATGGCCATGGAAAGATCAGCATGCAGGGAGGAAAAAATTGTTCTCTTTTGCTTCCTAGTGAAAAATAAAATACGCCATTGGATAAGGACGCCCGGTCAGATCCCTGAAGGACAAACCGATCCCATGTTAGTTTAATCTCATATTTACCTTGCTATCGCCAGTTCTTATATTTTAAGTGGTTGCAATCCTCTTTTGTGATTTTATGACAAGCAAAGTGAAGGGAGAAGCCAGATTCACATAACAACCGGGTTACTAACATCAACTGCAGTGATTTACTCAACAACTATAATAATAATAATAATAATAAATTTAATTTATATGCCGCCCTTCTCCCAACGGGACTCAGGGCGGCGCACAACATATTTAAAACAAAACATAAATACATTCCCCCCCGCAGTGATGGCGAACCTTTTAGAGACCGAGTGCCCAAACTGCAACCCAAAACCCACTTATGCATCGTCGGGTGCCGGGTGTGCGTGGCCCACTGGGTGGTCATGGCTGTGGTGGTCATGGCAGATTGGGTGGGTGTGGCCAAGGTGGGCGTGATCACCTCGATGTTGCTCGTGAGAAGGGACGCCTGTGGAGGCCAGGTAGGGTTGAGGGAGATCCAGGGGGTCTCTGGCAGGTGGGGCGGTGGGCAGGAGGCTCGTCTGTGGGGAGAGGCGAGGCAGGGCGGGGATGCCATTGTCACAGGGCAAGGTGAGGCAGGGGCCGGGGCGGCTGCTGCCTGACACCATCGGCCCCTGCACACAGAGGCCAGCGAGCACATGGGTGCTGGGATGCATCCGGCCATGTGGGACCTCGGTGAGTTAGCTGGCGGCTGGTTGAAGAGGGACGGTTGCCATCTCCGGGGCATGGCGCGCGTACCCACAGAGAGGGCTCTGAGTGCTGCCTCTGGCACGCGTGCCATAGGTTCGCCACCACTGAACTATGGCAAGAAAGGTGGCAAAATGGGGCAAAACACACTTAAGAAATGTCTCACTTAATAACAGAAATGGGCTCAGCTGTGGTTGTAAGTCAAGAACTACCTGTATTCCTAATTTTGCCTCTTCCATGCACTAGCATCTGGGGCATAGTAAAAGCCAAAGCCAAAATTGGGAGGTGGGTGAGATTTGCATCCAGGTGTAAAATTATATTGGCAAATGTACAGAATCTTACAGAATAACAGAGTTGGAAGGGACCTTGGAGGTCATCTAGTCCAACCCCCTAGTCAGGCAGGAAACCCAATACCATTTCAGACAAATGGCTGTCCAGTCTCTTCTTAAAAACTTCCAGTGTTGGAGCATTCACAGCTTCTGGAGGCAGGTTGTGCCACTGGTTAATTGTTCTAACTGTCAGGAAGTTTCTCCTTAGTTCTAGGTTGCTTCTTGCCTTGATTAGTTTCCACCCGTTGCTTCTTGTCCTGACCTCAGGTGCTGTGGAGAATAGGTTGACCCCCTCTTCTTTGTGACAGCCCCTCAGATATTGGAAGATTGCTATCATGTCACCCCTAATTGTTGTTTGTCCTCCTTGAAACCAACCTGGTTGGTAACAATTCCTTTTTGCACACTGTCTCCACATCAGAGATGGGAGGTTTTCTGGGTTCATCACAGGCAACAGATGATATTCAGACCCATAAAAGGGATGAGCCCATCTAACTAAGGTAGCTGTTGGGATGGAAAACCCTTGTTGGGTAAGTCTCCACAGTTCGCTGCTCCTTATTTTATTTTGTGCTGCTTGATGGAAACCTTTAGAAGCTGCCCTAGGTCAGTAGCTCATACTGGATTCCAAGCATTGAGGTGAGACTCAGAGATGCAGTGGAAAACACTCAACAAATAGCAATAGCAATAGCACTTAGACCAGTGGTTCTCAACCTTTTTAATGCCGCGACCCCAACCAGTCAAGGACTAAACCGGTCGTAAGTCGAGGACTAAACCGGTCGTAAGTCGAGGACTAAACCGGTCGTAAGTCGAGGACTACCCAACCAGTCGTAAGTCGAGGACTTTCCCTGCCCGGGAGCGCCGTGCATGCGTGGTTCCGCCCCCTGCACCGGCCGAGGCGGAGCTGGCAAGCAGCAGAGATGGAGCAGGCCGACCACCAGCTGGCCCAGCCCAAGGGAGGTAAGGCACCCGCCGGAAAAGGGGAAAAAAAATGGCGGACAAAAAAAATGGCGGACAAAAAAAATGGCGGACAGCCTTGCTTGGCGACCCCCGTGAAATGGTCGATCGACCCCAAATGGGGTCCCGACCGACAGGTTGAGAACCACTGACTTAGACTTATATACTGCTTCACAGGGCTTTACAGCCCACTCTAAGAGGATTACAGGGCCAGTCTATTGCCCCCAACAATCTGGGTCCTCGTTTTACTGACCTCGGAAGGATGGAAGGCTGAGTCAACCCTGAGCCAGTGAGAATCGAACTGTAGTCAGCCGGCAGTCAGCAGAAGTAGCCTGCAGTGCTGCATTCTAACCACCGTGCCACCAAAGCTCAATTAAAAAGGGGGTGAAGTCACTAAACCTCCCAATAGATGCCACCGGTATCACCCACCCCTCCCTTATAGTTACCTGGATCTCTTTGATGTGAAACGCCAGGATCAGGATCACTAATCCCACCGTGGAGAGGGTGATGAGGCACTTGGTCATGAAGGCATAAGCAAACCACTGAAAGGAGAGCAAGAGAGAAGAGATGGGTTAAGGAAACTCCTCAAGGATGTGGGCCTGAAACCAGCAAAGGTTTGAGAGGTCTCCCTTTGGTTTGAGGGCCACACAGAATGGATGGAACGGATGGAGACTAATCAAGGAGAGAAGCAACCTAGAACTAAGGAGAAACTTCCTGACAGTTAGAACAATTAACCAGTGGAACAACCTGCCTCCAGAAGCGGTGAATGCTCCAACACTGGAAGTTTTTAAGAAGAGACTGGACAGCCATTTGTCCGAAATGGTATACTATAGGGTTTCCTGCCTGAGCAGGGGGTTGGACTAGACGACCTCCAAGGTCCCTTCCAATATTATTATTATTATTATTATTATTATTATTATTATTATTATTATTATTATTATTATTATTATTATTATTATTATTATTATTATTATTTATTTATTTATTTTTATTTATTTATTTTATTTAATTTATATGCCGCCCTTCTCCCGACAGGGACTCAGGGCGGCGCACAACATATTTAAAACCAGAACATATATACAATCCCCCCCTTAAAACCGAATTAAACCGAATTTTAATGTTGCGTCTTCCGAATATTTAAAACCCAATGTAAAATCCACCCTAGGTCAGG